CAACAATTGGATTTAATTAAATGTTTGTGAACTGCATGTAAATGCGTTTTTTACACATGACAACAGATTGGTTGATTTCAAAGAATAGTTTGAAGCTCATATTCTGATAAAAAGCAAAAGGTCCCTTTGGCTCTACTTTTGACAACTTCAAGCATTTAGTGTTCTTGATGCTAAACTGTAACTCGATTGTGAAAACTAGTGTTTAAATTTGTATTTTGAATACATTTCACTATTTTCTTCCAGAAATTTCGGAATAACCCCTACGTTATGGTAGATCTAATGGTCAGATAATTAGCACTTTCTTAGCATATGGGCATTTCCACCGAAAAGTATATTTTTTGTCACATCACGTCACGCACATTAATTGACAATATCTTAAGACCATTCCATTTGATTGGCCCTTACTTTATCCTATATATAAAGCTATTAGAGCTCTACATAAAAATATAAACAATTTAAATATATATAAATATTTTCCCTAGATATAGGCAGTTATTAGTGCGTGACGTGATATGACAAAAGTAGACTTTTCGGTGGAAATGCCCATATATTAACTCTTTCTATTCATATTGTTAACTATATTACCAAATACATACTAATTTTATAATCTATAAAGATTTCAAGATTATTCCGTGTATACAGACATTTCTCTAAGGGAAGAGTGATTATGGACATTTTACATTCCGGAATGAATACAGACCAATAAAGATCGCACAGCTGATTACTTGATAAAGTTGCCCCAACTCCCAAAATATTGCTATCATTACAGGTCACTGTAAATTTGGTTTCCACGCAGGAGGTATTTGCCTATAATTACTTCTGTAGAGCTGCCTAGAAGAAGAGGAAGAAGAATCAATGTATCATTCTCTTCGTCACTGCTATCACTATCAAAGCCTATAAGTATCAGGGATTATTACAGTTGGTTCAACAAGTGTACTTTATATTTGCATCATAGATAATGATATAAGTCCATTCAAAAAATTCAATATCTTCAAACTTGATCTTTTTTACCAAAGTATAGGTCACCAGAACTGCTCATATTTATAAACTTTGACGATCATTATGTCTACTACCTGACAATGGTATTTAACATTTCCGTGAGGAGAATCGCAATACTAGATGCTTCAAAAAAAGGTAATCATAGATTCTTAAACTAGGAAAGGACACGATTGAAAGATAAATCTTAATGCCAAAATTCCTACTGTCAGCTGTTGCGAAGACTCTCGAGATTCTTCTATTCCACCATCCGGTTTGACATCTGTAATTGCTAATTACATCTTACTGGACTTAAACCAGCAGATATCTTATAAAAGACCGGCTCAAGTGGATCTCGACCTGCAGAAAGCAGTCAGAAATGTCATTTCATTATTCGAACGTATCCTGCATTTCACAATGTTTAATAAAACGAGAATTTAAAGACGAGCTCTTAAAATTTCGAAGAGTCAAACAAGAAGGATTACATCCCAGAGCGGAGTTCTATCTGCTCATTTCTTTAAACTTCCTATACCTCTTATCACCAGCGAAGTGCTAAACAATATTTTTAGCAAATGCCCTATTTAATTCCTAATGCTACTGAAATCACGCACAAAATGCGAAATTGAAAAGAGGTCTTGGTACAGTGCTGGTTGTTGAAATCAGAAAATATAGAGTAAGTAATTTTCAATTTAGATCCACATTGAGTTTAAAATATGTTTAAATTATGGAGTTTTACAACATCGGTTCGGAGACAGATTTCATGGAAAACACAATCAGCAGTTGAAATGATTTCATCTTATAATCGTTCCGCCTTGTTTGGAACGATTGCAGTCTAGATGAACTGGGGAAATTTGTTTATTTTTTATGCGTAGAATTTGACAGCGTCGAATATAACATATAATATAACATAGGAAGTAAGCCGCAAGGATCTATAGGATTGCATCCAGTAGAAACAAACACTATCGGTACAGAATTGTAGGTGATTCTGCGATAACACCTAGGAGTTTAAGGTGTTCCAATTAACATCTAAACAGAGTTAACATTGTCCAAAATGAATTAAGTACATTCGGTTTGGTGGTTAGGAGGTAGGATTGCCCACTCGCTAGTGTTAGAAAGAAAGGCATTTGTAAGCCAGTTATGATCATAAATCACTTTCTAAGGGGAACTTGTATAGGAGGAAAGGACCCTGTAGGTTCCTTATACAATATTACAAAGACTTTTATTTCAATAAAAATTGTTATGTCGAATTTCATTGCTATCCATGCTTTTTAACCAG